ACACTAGGGGTGTGCAATATACAGTATATTGTCTACGACAGTGGGCCTCAACTGAGGGGGCACACCCCCCAAATAACTTGAAATTATAAGTATATTAAATTCACCAATTTAGAATTAGTGTGTTAAATAAAAAAAATAAAAAATAACAGCACAACCTCTCTTGTACGTATTCTGTGATATTGTGTTGTGGAGCAACTCCATCCGTTTCTCATCACGCTGTGTGATATAGACTGAATGATGGCTCAAAACGTCGACCGCTGTATGAACAAACTGCCATCCGAATTTAAATGATTTATTAAGGAGGCCTTACCTGAAACTACTGGTGTCTACATTTCACCTTGCCTTTGTGCACCCTTTGCTTGCTCATTGGCTTCAAACATAGCTTTCTGTAGAAAAATACAGAATACCTTAAAGAATGGCAATCTTTGATGTTGCAAACACACAAAAATAATCTAATATAATTACACTCAGACCAGCTTAAATAAAAGAGCTGCACCTCCAGACCTCTTAGTTATGGAAAAAAATGTGTTTAAATTTGTAATGAAATGAACGCTCATGCCTCATGTACGTCATCTTACATTTCATTAGGTGTGTTCGACATCAAAGCACCCACCGTGAGAGCCATTACCGCGGGAAGTAGGGGTGCTGGGGGTGCTGCAGCACCCCCTGGAGTGTAGCCCACTAAAAAATGGGTGTGCTGGGGGTGCGGTGTTAAAACTAAATGAATGAACAATATGTAATACAAAATAAATAATATTCATTTTATTAATTAGTATATTCATTAAAATTCATTGAAAAAAGTAGCCTAAGCCTATAATGACAAGGCTTGTCAAAGTTGAATTAAGTTGAATCAAATTGACTGTGAAAGTCGTTTCAACTGATTAAACGTATTAAACTGACTTAAAAAATCATTTGTTGCCATGATTTTTGGATTATATTATAACCTGTAACATGTCTCTGCCGTACCTAAATTAAGAATTAACAACAATTTCCACAGACAGCAGAGAAAGAGCGAGAGCGTCTACCTCAGCAGCAACAAATCTCGCATTCTCACATCTGTAGCGCTTAGTTTGATCTTTAACGTTAGGTCTTTCCTATTCTTGAAACTAAAAATTAATTCTTAAGGTTGATTCAATATTACTCTTAACGAAAAACACACACACACAACATCAACAATGCTACAATGACAAAGTCGCTTATATTAAACATAAAACTTTTATGAACAGATAAGAACAAATAAGATCAGTGGCGTAGCGTCTGGTTATGCAGGGGACTTTGTAGTAACAAAGCACAAAGCTGCGATTACTGCGGGGATTGCATGCTACAAATAATGGACTTGAAAACTTTAAATATAATTTCCAAGCATTTAGCCTATACCATAAAACAGCTTGTGAATAGTCATGATTCACATAACGTTATTTACCTCAGAAAAATCAACAATAGGGCCCAAGTTAAGTCAACCGAGTTGAAGCCCATAGCGTTGCAAAAAAAAACGTTTTTTTTTGCATATGGGCCCGGGGCTGACTTGCTATGCCACTGAATAAGACTGATGTACCCACGCTGTAACACAAATAAATGTAAGGTTTTTGGATTTTCCCCTTACTTTAAATTAATGCTTATGGATCGTTATTATTAATCGAAAAACAAAAACATAGGCTATACAATAAAATAGTACAATGACAAATTCACCTATATTAAACTTTGAACTTTTATTAACAAAATGAATAAGGATATGTTTTACCCACGTTTAACACAGATATGGATTTCCCCTTAGGCTAAAACAGTTGTTTAGTTTGTGGTTTATTATCTTATTAATTAAAACACATCAGCCATAAAATAGTACAATGGCAAATTCGCATATATTAAACATCTACCTTGCATTGACAAAATGAATAAGATGGATATAGCCGTTGTAACCCAAATAAATAAGGTATTTTCCCTTATTTAAAACGAATGCTTAGTTTGTGGTTCATTGTTATTTTTTTAATGAAAACCCAGCAACAAAGACACTCACTTATAGGCTATTAAACGAATAAATTAAAGTTTTATTAACAAAAGTTGCGCTTTGGATCCGCCATCATATAGTGTCAGTCTTCTCGCATCACTCTTGTCACGTGACCCCCCCCCCATTTTATTTCTCAGCCCCCCCAGCTCAAAATACGTTCCCACGGCTATTGTGAGAGCTATTCAAAAGAATTTGAAAACACCTACACAGTTGATTGGTCTGAACATTAGCTCCGCCTCCACTCAGTCACACCAGCCAGCGCCTCCTGATCCACTAACTCAGTGGTTCCCAACCCTGGTCCTGGAGGCACCCCAACACTGCACATTTTGCATGTCTCCTTTCTCTGTTGATTGGTCTAAACATTAGCCCCGCCTCCACTCAGTCACACCAGCCAGAGCCTCCTGATCCACTAACTAACTGAACTGTAGTAAACGCGATATAATGGCGATACACGGATAATGACTGATAAAACAATGTTTTTACTAGCAGACAACTACAGTGGATACTGTAACATTTGTTAGTGTTACTTGGACGATGCTGTGTCCTCAAAATGCCTTGAAGACTCAAATGCAGCCTAGTTTGTGACTGCAATTCGCGCCCGTGAGCAATGCGTGTGAAGTGCAGATTCCAGTGCGGGAGAGGTGGGTCTGGCACCCTGTGCTACTTTTACACTGTTGCCGCGTGTTATTATTCAAGTTAGTGGTTTTTCTCCATTTAATTTTTGGTTTTGTGCTGGTAATCCTATTGGTATATTTTGCATGCTAATGATAGGAATCTATCCATTGATGTGACTGGTTATTGAAGTTTGTGACAGCAAAAAAGGGCTATTTCAAACTGCATTTCTGAGACAGCCTTTGGGAAACTACAGTTTTGAGGTGAAAATACTCAGCAATGTTGTTGATTAATGCACTGGCACATGGTTTGTCTAAAAGCATATTAAAAATACCACATAGACAAATAAACAACATAAAACAACTAACTTGATTTTCACTACAGGGGGACCTTAAAGCATGATATGAAAAGGTAACACTTTCCAATAAGACTCCATTTGTAACATTAACTAAGGTTGATAAAAGCGGAAGTATTGTTCATTGTTAAAGTGTGTTAATTTCAACATTTACTAACAAATTTTTTAATTTTAAAGTTGCTTCTATTAGCATTAGATAATGAACTACAAACTAAATTTAATGATCAACATATAATTAATATTAACGGAGTGTCTTACACTTACTGCAAATAGGCCGCCTTGTTGGCAGAGGCTATTTACACTAACTCTGCCCACCAACGTGTGATTGGGCTAGTCAACATTATAAAAAACGTCTATGAATCATCAGCTCCAGTGGTGCAGATGGTAAAGCGCGTGCAGTGGTCTTTTTGGTGCGATCGACCCGGGTTCGAACCCGCCTTTTGCCTAACTTTTTTACTCCCTTTTTAAATCTTATATCACATCATAAAGGCATTTATTTTCAATAAAAATGAAGGAAATAATAAAAAAAGTTGAAAATAAAGTATCGGGTACGGTTAGGGTAGGTGTAGGGAGGGCTTTATTGTCCCAATGTGGCATCTATTTTTTAATTTGAATTAGAATTATAATTTACACTCAGTACATTATTATTGCGTACTGTTTTATAATGTACGACAATACTGAGGTGCAGATAATTGCTACTATTTGCAATAAGTATAAATAGAACCAAAAAGTTGCAAATAAAGTATCGGGTAGGGTTAGGGTAGGTGTAAGGAGGGATTTATTGTACCAATAAGGTGGCATCTATTTAATAATTTGAATTAAAATGATAATTTACACTCAATATGTTATTATTGCATACTGTTTTATAATGTAATACAATACGGAAGTGCAGATAATTGCCACTATTTGCAACAAGTAGTATAAATAGCAGAAAATCCTGCTATTTTAAAACAGTGTAAATAGAATCTATAGCTATTTGCACTTAAGTGTAAATAGCATATCGCTAAAAATACTGCTATTTTCACTTAGTGTAAATAGCATCTATCACTGAGAAAATATGCTATTTACACTAAGTGCAAATAGCCGCTGCCTTAATATTAATATTTTCATTCATTTACAAAGTACGGTTCAGTACTGCTTTTTTTTTTTTAATAGTAAAGCACTATTTTAGTGTTTGTTCAGTATTCATTATATAATAATTATATAATACATTATATAATAATTTGTCAATTTTCATCAACGACACTTTTTCACCGATGAAAACGAGATGATAACGAAACAAAAACTCGTTTTGAATGACAAAAACTATGATGAAAATCTATTGACATTTTCGCCAACTAATAAAAATGAGACAAAAATGTTAGGGAGGGACTATTTGGAAAGACATTCAGAACAAATCTGCTGCATGGTTAGGAGGTTAGATGCGTATATTTGAACTGCATCATAGCCTACTGATCTATCCGGGCAGGACATAAGCTAGCATACACTTGCTGCACGTCTCTTAAAACGTTAAAAAATGTCAATATCTGGAAGTAAGAGAAGAGCAGACATATGGATCAATTTGACGATGCAAAAGAGAACTCAATTCGGTCTGGTTTTCTGAACGGAGACAACAAAGCAGCGCCTCTCACACAGCGCACGAGTACTGTGTTCTAGCTGGCCATGAACTCCTGCGTACTCACAAACCACCAGCAAATACAACTGAGAATGTGTTTGAAAGTCTAAAAGCGGAGCTATTAGCTTACCTTGCAGCTTTTATTTGGAATGAAGTCATCTGCTGAGGTGACTTGGCAGGTCTGGTGGCTTGAGGAGTTGACTAAGTGGAAGACAGGAGAGGAGATGCATGCATTATAATTTTTGATTCAAAGAAAACACAGAAGACTTAGCATCTGACCCAGAACTACAGTCTTTTTAACATACAATTGTAAAGCCAGTCACCAGGGGATAAAAACAAACTTTAATTGGCCTAATTTAAGAAAGGGCTGCAACCCTACATGAGGAAAAACACAAAAAGTGGTGTTGTTACCTGATGCCTCCATTTCCTGGTCGTCCAGGTCACTTTGCCGTTGAGCACTGTTTGTTTCGTCATTGGCTTCTAGCGTTACATTCTATAAGAAAAAGCATGTTTTTAACACATAATGCCTTAACGTATGGCAATGTCTTTGTTTTAAGAAATCATGATTGAATTTACACAAATATGATGCACAGTTATGAACTAGTAGCTATGAGACTACATACACGAGTCCTGCTATACCAAACCACGTCCTTGTAGATCATGATTGAATTTACACAAATATGATGCACAGAGTTATGAACTAGTAGCTATGAGACTACATACACAGCTCCTGCTATACCAAACCACGTCCTTGTAAACCATGATTGAATTTACACAAATAAGTCCATAAGATTACTGCTAGTCCCGCTACTTTTTTCCTCCATGATTTTATGTATGCAGATGTTTTCTAGCTGGCCATGAACTCCTGCGTACTCACAAAATCACCAGCAAATACAACTGAGAATGTGTTTGAAAGTCTAAAAGCGGACTAGTCCCGCTACTTTTTTCCTCCATGATTTTATGTATGCAGATGTGTTCTAGCTGGCCATGAACTCCTGCGTACTCACAAAATCACCAGCAAATACAACTGAGAATGTGTTTGAAAGTCTAAAAGCAGAGCTATTAGCTTACCTTGCAGCTTTTATTTGGAATGAAGTCATCTGCTGAGGTGACTTGGCAGGTCTGGTGGCTTGAGGAGTTGACTAAGTGGAAGACAGGAGAGGAGATGCATGCATTATAAGTTTTGATTCAAAGAAAACACAGAAGACTTAGCATCTGACCCAGAACTACAGTCTTTTTAACACAATTGTAAAGTCAGTCACCAGGGGAAAAAAACAAACTTTAATTGGCCTAATTTAAGAAAGGGCTGCAACCCTACATGAGGAAAAACACAAAAAGTGGTGTTGTTACCTGATGCCTCCATTTCCTGGTCGTCCAGGTCACTTTGCCATTGAGCACTGTTTGTTTCGTCATTGGCTTCTAGCGTTACATTCTATAAGAAAAAGCATGTTTTTAACACATAATGCCTTAACGTATGGCAATGTCTTTGTTTTAAGAAACCATGATTGAATTTACACAAATATGATGCACGGAGTTATGAACTAGTAGCTATGAGACTACATACACAGGTCCTGCTATACCAAACCACGTCCTTGTAAACCATGATTGAATTTACACAAATATGATGCACAGAGTTATGAACTAGTAGCTATGAGACTACATACACAGGTCCTGCTATACCAAACCACGTCCTTGTAAACCATGATTGAATTTACACAAATATGATGCACAGAGTTATGAACTAGTAGCTATGAGACTACATACACAGGTCCTGCTATACCAAACCACATCCTTGTAAACCATGATTGAATTTACATAAATATGATGCACAGAGTTATGAACCAGTAGCTATGAGACTACATACAAAATTCCTGTTGTAACAAATATATGGTAATGCTAAAATTCACTTTTAGCATTTAAAATTATTGATTTTAGTGTTTTAAAAATGTATTTATAGAGAAAAAAAAAGTTATGTCAGTTATGCCTTTCATTTTATACTGTGCACAACAAAATAATAATCACTTCTGTGAAGTCTGAAGTGCACATAATGCCTATTCACGGTCTTTTCCATTTTTGGGTTGAAAGGTTGTTTTCTTTTAAGCCACAATAAATTAGCAGTTTTTCCTCTAAATGAGTTAAAAGGGTTTCTGCAGAATGTTAGGTGAGCAGGCTGTACTTCGCTTTAATTGGGGCATTCAGAACACATCAGATTTATTTTCAAATACAAATGTGAGTGGATCACAATATGACTAATACTAATTTAACTAATTCTACCATGTCAAACAAAATAACGTCCTCTTAATTAAAGGGGTCATATGATGCGATTTCAATTTTTCCTTTCTCTTTGGAGTGTTACAAGCTCTTGGTGCATAAAGAAGATCTGTAAAGTTGCAAAGACTAAAGTCTCAAAACCAAAGAGATATTCTTTATAAAAGTTAAGAGTCAGCCACACCTACCTAAAACGGCTTGTTCTAACACGCCCCCACATGTCTACCTCACTATGTGGAAATATTAGCATAACGCCGCCCAAATGTTCACGCAAAGAAAGAAGGCGCAACTTTTATTCTCGCTGTAGTATTGTTGCTGCCGCCGCCATGTCGTGAAGGCGCTGTGTTTCGTTGTGAATAATGTTCTTTTTAGCAGCATCACATGACCCCTTTAAGAAGCATTACACCATATTTGTGATCATTAAAACGCACATCTCATATTAACAGATTACAGTATGATCCTGATTACCTTTGAATGTGTTCTTTTGTTGACACGCCAAGGAAGGTCAGCTCCTCCATAATCCTAGGTTATCTCTTGGCCTTCAGAAATATTTTTAATTGCAAACAAACAGAGGTGTGGATTGCCATTCACCTCTATTTTCAACATTTTCGCATTAGGTTTCTTGTCATCATTTACTAGTCTACCCAGTGAACCATCATCATGTGATGCATCGATGCTGTAAAAAAAAAAAAAGTTTTTCTTTAAAAAGTTATATAACATTTACACACATCATAGACTAAGCAATGACTTTACTGCAGTGATATATTTTTGGCATGTTATTGCAATTCTTTTAACCTTAACTAATGCAGTGTGTAGCTATTTATTTCTTAAAAGGTCAAGCAAAAGGTTAGAAATAAAATTAAAAACGACCTACAGGTAATAGACTAAGTGATAATAAAACAAGTCTTTTGCACTTACACTGCAGACATAATGCACATATCTACTCTGACAAATCAGATTTTGAATAGGTTTGAATGGGTTAAATACCCAAACAGAAAAAAGTTACATATAGAAACAGACCAAAAGCAATTCCTTTATAATCAAAGCTGGATCATTAAATGGTAGGGCTGTGACGGTGGCAGATTTTTACCACCGCGGTGGTAATGGACAAACTACCACTGGTGGTGCGGTGTTGATATATATATATATATATATATATATATATCATTAATATTAATAATATATATAAAAAAAAAAAACATCCTGTCTACAGGACGCGAGTAGCGCGACACGATAAAAAAAACTATAGAACTCATTATAATCAGAGATGCTACACTGGATGCGGCACGACACGACATGACATGACAAATCCCCTACAGTAAACTGCCTCGTCCTGTTTATGAGGTACTGACACAGTGTTCAGATGTCCAGTGTAGACACCAGACAGACTAAACCTGTTGTGACGCGGCGGTGTCGTGTCTGGTGTAGACACGGTTCACTGTTCCGCCGCCAAGCAAGCGGGTGCTTTAACTCTTCGTCTGCATGCGCTCTCTTTGAAATAGAAATCGTTGCCACATTTCTAGTTAACATCTTTCATTTATCGCTGTCTCGTTTGTATTTGGCCAGTTTGGAGAAAGCCTCACCAAACCTGACCAGCCAGGCGTTTGCGATCATGGGAACTTGGAAGACACTTGTCCAAACGCGGATGGGTGACATGAATGGAGATGGCTCCAGATCGGCGATGTAGTATTTGGTTTCCCAACAAGATCCAACGCCCAAAACAAAATTAATTTGCTGAATGCATAAACTGTATTTTCCTGCTCTCAAACCTGCCAATCTAAAGGAAAGGCTGTGTATGGCATTTGAGGTAATTTGTGAATTATAGTCTAAATAAAACAATTTGCAACTATTACTGTTATTACACTTGCATACAAAACTTTGTATTATGCTTGCTATAGAGTGCGTGACGTCACGTGCACTACCGCCGGTGGCAGTAGACAACCGCGGTGGTGACGCGGTTGTCACGGCAACCATCACAGCCCTAATAAATGGGTTCGGACAAACTTAATTGCCTCTGATTAGCCATTGCATTTAGGTGATCAGCAAACATGTCTGTGGTTGGCTACAATGCTCAACGCTGCAAAAACATTTTGTAAATAGAAATACACATAAGACCATTTGAAAGCTCTTAGTATCGAATAGGTACCAAAGTAGCAGTACTTTTGACAACAATAACCCACATAGTTCATTAAATAAATTAATGAAATTTGATTTTGGCTGTCATATCTAGATGCACTTCAAGTATATTGTACTTACCAATAATCTTTTCCATTATGTTTAAAATAATATGTGTATGGATTTGAGATTTTATTAAACTTGTTTTCGTCACGCAGAGCTCCGTGGTACTCGATTATGAAGGATCCCTTCCCAATGAAATATTTTGCAAAAACACCACGTCCTGTTTAAAAAATACAGGCATTAATGTCGAGCCCTTCACCTTTATGGTATAAATCTGGCATTGCAAGAGATCATACTTTATTGCACCAGACATAATGCCTGGCAATTAAACTTTTTATACAGACACTGCCAGCAAGTTTATACTTCATTAATACATAAGTAAAAACAAATGGCACAATATAAATGCCATAATATGAACTTTGCCAGGGCTGAAATTATTTTTGATACTACTACTATACATAAATTAATAAAACATTAATATACAGATTACATTATTCTTCTAAGCATTACATATAAGTGGCAAACTTACCTTTAGTTTCATCAATATATTTTGAAAAAACTGTCTTTATCTCTTCCTAGATGAATATGTCTTTCAGCATCCTGAAGAGGGGTAAGCCCCCTGCCTCTGGAGCTCTCTCTGGTGTTCACTGAAATTCACAAATTTGATAGTCAGTTGTAGGAAGAAAGTACTTTAGATCAGCAATATTGTGTGATTATCAAGTTGTTGAAGTTTAAAGAAGAAAGTTGTTTGACATGTAACGTTACTTGGTTAGTCTCACGGATAATGTTTCTATGATAAAAAGATGCTGTCTGAACGATATATTCCCACAAAAGAGAGAAATCAGAACGAAAACGTACAGTTCAGATAAATTAAGGACAATACCGATTTAACTGAAGCAATGGAAAGAATCGCCTCAAAATGGTGACTCATTCGTTAATTAGGCATCGACGTTTCAGATTCTAAGAAGTAACGTTACTTGACGAAATGGTTGCTGTAATATTACCAAGAGTATTTTTACATGAATAAAACAACAACGACAACGTTTTTGTCAAAACGGTGTTGTATACCACAGAGTACGTTAACTTACTTTCAAGAAGTTTGGGGGGAGAAGGGCGGTGGCCTATAACGTTCGGTTTGGCTCGATCTCGAACATTACAAATTCGTAATACAAAAGCATCATATATTTCTAAATAGGTTTAAACGTAGACCCAAGACATTTAAGCCCTCGGTCGTGGTTTCTAAATTTCCTAAATAGCTAATATTTGGTCGCATGAGTTTCAAACTGAGGTAAGTTAATGCTGAAACTTAATTATTCGGTTTACAAAACGTGGTAGATTAAAAGTATTAAAAATACAAAGATGATATTTACAGAGACATAAAATTATGTAAGACAGCTGATATAAATTTTAAGGTTTTTAAAATACAGAAAGTATTTTTTTTAAAGGCACAGATTACTTACTTCGTACTTCGCTGACGCAGTCTGAATATCTTCGCGGGGAATAGATGATTGACATTCCAGAACAACCATCCTCCGCATTTTCATTGGTCGGTAGTGTTGTCAATCACAATGAGGAAAAAAGCACGCAACCTGTAATCACTTATAATTTATAGTTTTATTCTTTTTTAAATTTGACTCTTTAATTTTAAAATATCTTGTGTAGGAGAAAATGGTCCAGCCCGACGAACGGAGTTTTCAAAACTGACCAATTAGACAGAACCTCATGTAACGTTAGGCTACGGCAGACACGCTGTATTATGCAGCGAAATCTAAAATATCATCAGTTAATATTAAATTTGTATTTTTAATATTTATTCATCCAAATTTAATTGTAAATAATACACTTCAAAACATAATTTTTTTCAATTTCCCGCGAATTGTTGTAAAATTTCCTGCGAGATTGTATTGTTGTAAAATGGCACATTGTGGTTAAAGGGGACATGCTTCAAATTCATACACATACACATTGTGGTATGTAAGGTAATTTTTTTTTAAATGTAAAAACTTAATAGGGGGCATTATTTTGAGTCAGAAAACAACATAATCGTTCCCAGAATTACGAGGACACTGCATTGTCCTTATAAACCAAGTGTCCTTGTAAAGCTGGTGAGTAACCTGACATTTTGTCCTCATAAACCATATATTCAAGAACACACACACACACACACACACAAATTCCTATCATTATGGGTTCATTCCACAGGTGTAATGGATTTTCTACTGTACAAACTGTATTTTCTATCCCCTTACCCTAACCCTAAACCTACCCCTCACAGAAAAATGTCTGCTATATTTACATTTTAAAAACATTTCATTCTGTATGATATATAAGCTTGTTTCCTCACGGGGACCAAAAAAATGTCCCCACAAGGTCCAAATTTACTGGTCTTAATGCCGAGTTCTGTCATAAAACTCCACATGGCGCAGGCTGATGGGTCCTTAACGCAAACTGATGATATTCACAGATTATTACATTATGAACATTTTATTGCAATAATAATCTAATACTTATTACATTTTGTGCAGTTACTAAATTATGATTTGCTACAGTGATGTACACTTTTTTTCCTGAAGAAACTCATTGCCAGCAGTAACCAGGTTCAATTCCAATTATGATGTGCGACTTCCAAAAAGGCTGTTCCCACTGTTGTTTCTGTGATGTACTCTTTTTTTCCTGAAGAAACTCATTGCCAGCAGTAACCAGGTTCAATTCCAATTATGATGTGCGACTTCCAAAAAGGCTGTTCCCACTGTTGTTTCTGTGATGTACTCTTTTTTTCCTGAAGAAACTCATTGCCAGCAGTAACCAGGTTCAATTCCAATTATGATGTGCGACTTCCAAAAAGGCTGTTCCCACTGTTGTTTCTGTGATGTACTCTTTTTTTCCTGAAGAAACTCATTGCCAGCAGTAACCAGGTTCAATTCCAATTATGATGTGCGACTTCCAAAAAGGCTGTTCCCACTGTTGTTTCTGTGATGTACACTTTTTTTCCTGAAGAAACTCATTGCCAGCAGTAACCAGTTGCAATTCCAATGATGATCTCTGACTTCCAAAATGGCTGTTCACAAACGCATTTAACTGTTGCGACTGACGTTTTGGAAGCCAGACATAATCGTTGGAATTGTATGTAGTTACACTGCTGATAATAAGGTTCTTCAGGGAAAAATGTACATCACAGAAACATAACAGTGGGAACAGCCT